TTTACTTATGATGTCTAATAACAATTTAATAGTGCTTTTATCTTGAAAGTTATCATTCACATTTTTTTCAGGAACAAAAAAAATGTATGGAGTTTTTAGAAACTTCAAGGTTTGGCGGGCCCAAAAAAGGTTGGGAGTCACTGGTCAAAAGCAAATGGACTACGAACTATGTTCAGGAAAATTTTTACGTAATTCCTAATTATGGAAATATGTTTTTTTTATTATTTTTCTAAAATTTGTCACCTGACCCTGTTTTATCCCATAGGCGGGGTGAAATGGAACAATAAGAGGACAAACAGATCCAAGATCCAATGTCTTATATTCAATTTTAAAGGAATTTTACGAAATAATAGCTACATTATTCATTCAATGCAAAATATAAATTTTATGGGTATAATTTTATAAATTTAACACTGTATATTACAATGATCTGGTATTTTGTCAGAAATATTCAACAGCAGAGTTGGAATAACAATTTAATTAATTTATCTTTTGTAAAATTGGTTTTTCTAACTTAGGCTACTTTTTTATTTACTATTTTTTATTGTTTATACCTTTGCCAGGTTCAGTTGGTTTTTTTACCCCACCCACTTATAAACCTAATACATCTTATAAAACAATTAAATAACGTATACATAAATATTATATTAAGGTCTCATAACCAAAGTTCAGTGCTCACAACCAAAAAAACTAACAACGAAAGAAAATACTTTTGTTATGGATTTTCAAACATTGCTGATTATCTTCTGTTAGTGAAGTCGTAAGAATCTTGGAGATATATGTGGTGGACCTTTAACTCTACCCTACCCATATACATACAAATATGTTTTTTAATGTAATTTTTGCCTGATTCTTTACTTTATTTTATTGTAAAAACAGCCCCTGATGCTATTGTGCACAAAAGACATAGCAATTACTTTCGTAGACTCGGCTACAGCATGTAAAATCATGTGACAATATGACAATATTTTTCTAAAAATTGGGTTATCATAAGCGACATATCGATGTAAGCAAAGTCAATATATCCGACTGTGTTTTAAGGAATTTTATAAACCAAACTTCATAGTACGATTAGGTCAATATAAGCGGTCGGTCAATATATCCGGCGTCCTGCTAAGCGGATTCTACTGTATATAATATAAATTATTTCAAGAAACCTTTTAATTTATATACTTTGTTACAAAACTTAAAGTGTTATAGTGTGCTATGTAATTTTGTGAAGTATTGTTAAATTAGTATATAAGTGTATTTTGTTGTATATGTAATGTATATAGTGAATAAATATAAAGAAATTGCATAGAATATAATGTAATGTAGTAGGTGGCTAAATGTTCGAAGTTGGCAAGCCCATTAAAAAAATATATTTATTAGACGAAATATAGTCGCGGTACAAATATATATATATATATATATATATATATATATATATATAAACATTTTGTATACTACCATGTCGTAGCATCCTGGTTGAAAAGGATGTTCACAGATAATACAAACTTTGCTTCCGATATCAGGTTGAAAACTTCCATGGGGGCATCTATAGCAGTTTTCAGAAGTATCCGGCGAAAAATATCCCATTGGACAAGGAGCTATTCATTTATTAAGTGTTACTATCATAATAAAGTGGTGAACGTTTAATTTTTTTTAAATATACTAAACTTACAGCAAATATTAGTATCGAGCTGATAACCAGCAGGGCAGCCCACTGTAAGGCGAACTTGTGATACATTGAAGTAGTTTAGTAAGCTTTTGGACGACGAAGTCTGAAACTTTTGTATGGAAGTCTGAAAAGGACTAAAGTTATCGTAGCTAATAACATATCTAGTGTAAGTCTTTACACATAAAGAGAAAAATAATACCTGGGGTGTCAAAAATTATTGGTATGGTGTTGCTTATGAACACTGCCAGTGAGTTTCAGTGCTAATCTAATTCCCACATCAAAATCTTCAGGAAATGTAAATACTTGTGAAAGTTCTTCAACATATATCTCTACGTTTAATGTTAATCTCGGACCCGTTTTCTGTCGAAACAACAAAATATTTGTTATGATTTACAATTATAAATTGTTTAATGTGTAATTTATAATAGTGCAGTAAACGGAGAGGAAAAAAGGGTATAACCTCTGAATTTTTTTACTGTGCTCCGAATTGAATAAATTTTGGAATTAGGTTCATCTTACCCTTAATTTCAAAAGTGAAAACAATTCGGGTTGCGCCATCACCCCCGGGGGGATGACGCCCCATTCTCAATTGCGTAATTACATTTTTTCAAAATAACGTCGAAATCGGAAATAGATAGAAGAACTAATTATAAGAATAAAATGTCTTTTATAGTTTTTTTAAAAAACTAATACTTCTCAAGTTACAGACCACTAAAGATTCATATATTTTTGGCGCTTTCTTCGTTTTTTTGCAAATATCTCCTAAAATATACATTTTAACGAAAATCATGTAATGAACAAAATAATGTCAATAAAAATCTTAATAAATCGGTATTACATAAAGTGTTCTAGAAAAAAATATTAAGCAAGATTTGAAATAGCAAAGTCGTTTTTTATGTCGTTCAGATTTAATGTTGTATTAAAGCCATATAGCGTCGAGGTTTTTTTACATTGTATGCATTTCGGTGAAATTGAGTT